CAGGCCAACTTTGAGTCACTATGTAGCTCTGGCTGCCCTCAAACTCTTTGTGACCCTCCTGCCTCAGCCTCCTGAGCACTGGGATTGCAGGTGTATGCCGCCACACCCAGTTTCCATGCATTCTTAAAAATCTGTATAAAAACCAATTTAAAATTCTGTTGTCTCTAATACATGCATTTTTCCCAAATTGTTTGACTTGAAAAATTCAGTAACTGTGAACCTAGGAGGCTTTTCCTTGCATTTTAAGAATGTATGACTCAGTGACTAACCTCATACATTCTCTGTGTGCCAAACTATAATTTAGGAAATACAGCAATGACATAAAGAATTATGTGTCACACACAGTCAAATCTCATAAAAACAGCTGGGTAACTTCTTAACTAAGTCACATGTCCTTATACAGGAAACTTACTCTCTACAGAATGAAAGCCTGCCCAAAGGAAAACCCAAGGGGTGCATAAACAGTCATTCTCCATAGCTTAATGGAATTGTAAGTAATCCTCCTATAACATTCAGCAATTACAAGCTTCAGTATCAGAGTTCCAAACATAGTTTTGTGCTTCGGAATCTAACCGGTTTTGAGTCTATTTGGAGAGGACCCAAAGCTGAGCAATAAAAACGAAGCATGAGCTAGAAAACAAGCTCTTCTGAGGGGAAGAATGAAACCCTTGAAAACTTGTCTTTAGATTATGCATAAGGAAATTTCACCTTTATAAGAGAAGGGGTGGGATTGGAGTCATGTAGATTAAGCTTGAATGACAGAAGGCAAGATGGTCTTAGCTTTTTCTCAAAAGAAGGCAAGAGAGAAGCTCGAACTGTGCATCTCTAACGTATTCCAGGAGGTAAGAGTAAAATTTACATTCTCGGAAGCACAGAGCCTAGTGAAATCCTGGTAATCCCCAAGGAAGATCCAATGGATAAAATGATAGGCTCTGGACTGGACTCTTACTTCACTGACTTATAATGCTATCTGTTTAGCCACACAGAAACATTTTAAAGCATGTATACAACACACTACAGCTTCTACTTGTAATTGTGTGAGTTTTAAGTTTATTTGATTTTTGGTTTTGTTTTGTTTTGGTACAGGAAATTGAACTCAGGACCTTGCGCTTGCCAGGTAGGTGCTGTGCCACTGAGCTACATCCCTGGCCCGAGTTTTAAGTTTAAAAACAAAACAACGTTGAAAAATCATAATGCCTAACACTGCTGAGGGTACTGAGGAATTTGTGGAACAGATGGATAAGGTCAAGAGCTAACACGATGAGTAGTATCTACCAATATCCTTGAAAGTGATTTTTATTTCTAAAACTCAATCTCATAGAAATAACAAGCACAGATAAAAACATTTCCTATATGTTGTAATGTCATCTTTAGTAATAAAAATCTGGAGGTTGTGTAAAGGCCCATGTAGAAAGACATGCTTATGGGACAAACCACTCAGCAGTAGCAAATGCAAGGTTCAAATCATGCTGTACCGTACATTAACACTGTTACTCATATTTAGGATTATTTCCAAGGGAGGTGCTAAAGTCTGGAGAACCTGGAAGACTCCCAAAAACCTCGTATGCATATTCCAAGTATTTGTATAGATTGGAATTTCCTACTTGCTGAGGATTATTGTTTATAAAAACACCTAAGGCAAATTAAGACAGTTCTTCCCAACTATTTTTTTTCTTTAAGACATGTTTACTTCTGTTTGCCTGTAAACATTTTTTTTTAATGTTTTGAAGTATGCACTCACATGTCTTTCCTGGCAATGAAGTGACAATTATTTTTTTTCTGACTTTGTAGTTATTTTTCTTACTTTTTAAAATATATGTTCTCTGATCCATAAAGACATAAAAATTGTACACATTAATGGCACACCACGTAATGTTTTGATCACATAGACATAGTGTAGCTTAAATCAGGGTAAACATATCTCTGTCTTTGAACATTTATCATTTCTTTATGCTGAAAACTTTCAAAATTATTTCCTCTAGGTTTTTGGAATATATAGTACATTACTGTCCTCTACAGACACCCTACTGTATAATAATAGCACACACAGAACTACTTGCTATCTAACTCTAACAGCAGAACAGACATCAATTCAAAACAGCCAAAGCCCCTGGGCTACCCCCTGAACCTGTGTCCCCTCTCAGCGAACACCCTGCTTCTCTGGAGACCCGCCACAGCGGCCCTCAGGAGTCCCACAGCAAGCCATGGTAAGGCTTTGAGTGTGCCCAGCTGGTATCTGCCCAACACGCTCCCTCAGTCTCTTCCCTCTAGGGTCTCATCCAGAATATGCTGTCACAGTAAAAACAAGCTCAGGCCCACAGAGCATCCCCATTTTCCATATAAAATGGCCTATCTTTTCCCATGCTGATTCTGCAAGGCAGCTTATTTACTAATCTATATAAATAGCTGCAACCACACTCCAGGCTCAATGAAAAACCAAAATGGCATCATGTGAGAAAAACATCCTAGCATACTTGGCTCAGTGAGGAAAATGTAAGTGGGGAGCCGAGCCAAGCTACTTGACACTCACTAGTCAGCTTAACCAGATCCCTCCAGTTTCCTGTAGTGAAGGGACCAGCTTCTGCTTCTCAGAGCCAGAGGATTCACTTACACGCATTGCCCAGGGACTGGGTAGTGATTCAGAGCCAGAGGTTGCGAAATAAATTTCAAGTCAAGCTGAAGATTTATAATCTCATGGGTTTAAAGGGGAATCACCGTGCTTAAAGGGGGCAGTGAGTTTTCCAATTCAGCTACATAAAGTTAGCTAAGTCTTCTTTCATATAAGTCCAGTGACTTTTAAAATGTTTTTCTCCAATTATTTTGCCAAGTGGCCAGAATTACAGGGATTTAAATCTCAGGAAGAAAGCAGGAAGAAAAAGAATGAATGTTAACTTTTGGAACAGAATGTACTGCCTTTTCTAGATAATCATTAATTTAAATTATCCACTACCAGCTAAGATATATGTATATGAATGAAATATTGTGCATCTTGGCTTTTCTTTACAACAACATATGTATACCCGGACATGGAATATTATGTTTTCCTCAAGCCCTGCTTATAAGGACACCTATACAGCTGAACCTGATAGCACAAGTCTATACTTTTAAAGCCATCTATTTATTTATTTATTTATTTTGTTTTTTTTTCTCCGGTACCGGGGACCGAACTCATGACCTTGCACTTGCCAGGCAGGCGCTTTTGCCGCTGAGCTAAATCCCCAGCCCCTTAAAGCCATCTATTTAAATAGCCACACATTAAGGCAAGTCTATACAGTCAGATCTGCTGATGTACCTGTGTGATAGCCACTCATCCCACTATCAAATTACCTCTGCCCTAACACCTTGTTTCTTACCAATTAATGAACAGTTTATTTTTAAGTAATCATGTCATTAAACTAAATGAAGTTATTAAACTAATTAATCATGTCATTAAACTAAATGAATCATGTCATTAAACTACATGAAGTATCCCAAAATAGGAAGTCCCAAAAAACTTTTCTTGATAAGTCAGTTAGGAACCTGCAGTAGTTTATACAGCGTTTCTGAAGGTAAGCCAGAAGATGACCAATGCTACTGCTGTATTTCCTTTTGAGAATTCAAATGTTGAGATTCTAGACAATCTTGTTAGGAACTTAAATATTAGGTTACCATGATAAAGTGAACACATTCATATATGTTTTCCCACCAAAACATCTACGTTGCACCTTAAACCAAACGGAATTTTGATGCTTTTTTAAAATCATTGCAGTATTTTCACATGTGGGGATGTTCATGTTTGACTCAAGGAATAAATATCATGAATATTCATATATGATACCTGCCTTCCTACCAGCTTTCTGAATTGCAGTCAACTCATCCTCAAATTACTGCCACCATACAGAGAATTATCATCCTGTGTAGTTGTTGACCAACTGTCATTATTTAAATGGCAAGGGATTCTTCCTTTCAGTGTATGTTTGGAATACATAGTGAATACATTCATTGTGGGGAACTGGTGCACACGTATTACATTGTAAACCTTTTTAGGTCCTCTTCCCCTCCCTTCCTTCCTTCCCCCCTTCTGACAAGATCCCCTTCCCATCTTCAAGAAGTTTATCTCTCTGTTTCTAATCACCTTTTAATTTGTTTTGGGTTTCTCGTATTAAAAAAAAAAAATCACACACACACCAAAAAAAAAAAAAAAAAAAAAAAAAAAATCACACACAGGGGCTGGGGATTTAGCTCAGCAGCACAGCGCCTGCCCGGCAAGCGTGAGGTTGTGAGTTCGATTCCCAGTACCAGAAAAAAAAACCCAAAGAAGCAAAACAAAACAAAAAAAAAAATCACACAATGTTTAACCTTCTGTATCTGACTTATTTCACTTAGCACTATGGTCTCAGAGTGTATCCATTTTCCTGCAAATAGTTTCCTGATGGAGCACAAGTCCATCCATTCATCTCTTGATGGGTGATTTTTTTTTAAATTCTAGGTATATTCACAGAAAAAAAGATAAAACAGCAAAGGAAACCTCTAGTAAGTTTACCTTAAAATGAAATGAGTATCAAGATAAAAAATACAATTCTAAAGCAATTTTTCTTGAATTTTTATTCTGTAGGATATAAACACTTGATGCCTAAATTATTTTAATTTATTATGAAGCACAGTAAATATAGAAATAGATACTAGTACCAGTCTTTTGTCTCTGAATATATATCGTGTTTTTTCTTTTAAAGTTCATATTTTAAAATCTAATACTGATTATGTCTACATGTATTTAATTATCATTCTCTCAAGATCATGCCTCTACAGGTGTAATTTGTATTTACACTACTGAACAAAGACCAGATTGCAAAAAAATGATAAACAGCAAACACATAAATGGCACATGTCCTACGGCATTCACAGGACAATAACACTACTAAGAATCTTTTGTATTTTTTAAGCGAATGATTTGCAATCTCCCTAAAAAATAGCTTTTGTGGTATTATTAAGAAGTAAAGAAAAATACTTATTTTACTTACATAATATCTCTAATAAGAAGTGTGCTTCCCAATTTGAAACAGGTTTTATCGCCTTCACAAAATGCATGTCTCAGAGAAAAGCTCTCTCCTAAATCATAACCTGTAAAATGCGACACATTATTTAATCTGGTAGTTTAATTAAATTTAATACACCATTAGAAATAACAATTTTTTAAACTAGATTTTTCGTTGTTCATACTTATATATTTACAGATGAATACTTCAAATAAAACCCTGCAGTTTGAACAAAATTCCTCGACTTTATTTTTCTCCTTTTAGAGTAGAGGAATATGAAATTAACTTTGCATATAAAACGCAGAGCCAATTTTTTTGTAGAAAAATTCACAAATACATTTTGGACCCAAGCACTAATTTTTTTTGAACCAGGAGAGTAGTAGCAAACCTACTTGCAGCGGACAGAGAACCCTCTCTGCAAAGGTGTTACAAGTTGTAAGAGTTGTTATTTCTAAACTAAAACCTCAGTATTCTGGTTTAATTGCAGTGTTGGCACTTCGGGATAAATAAATGGGTTTGATGTTGCAGTCTGGGCACTTGTCTCTAAAACGTTCGCCATCACTGCCCTAGGTGTTATCCAGAGTACATAATCACAGTAGTTTGTTACAGTATCACTCAAAAGTAAATCAAAATTAGACAAAACTAGTACAGATATTCATTTAAAATTTAAACAGGGAAATTACGCTTTCAGAGAATGTACATTGATGAGAAAAGCTTGGAAGTTAAATGCAATGTATGTTATCTGTGTGTGTGTGTGTGTGTGTGTGTGTGTGTGTGTGTGTGTGTGAAAGAGACAGAGAAAGAGACAGAGAGAGAGAAGGGAAGGGAAGAGAAGAGAAGAGAAGGGAAGGGAGGGAAGGGGAGGGGAAGGAGGAGGAGGAAGGTAGGAATGCCATGATAGTTGTGATGATATATGGGTAGTAAGGTCTTCTTTCTCGCAAATCTTCTGTTTTTCAAAATTTCTATTATACATGCAACATTTATAATTTTAAGTAACTTTTTTTCTTCAACAGGTTGAGGTGTGGCTGATCTTAGATTAAACTATACAGGACTCTGCTTTCAGCAGTTTTAAAGTATGCACAGTTAGAATTTTTATGTCAATGTTATGATCTTAAACTGCAATGCCAAAGAATCACCGTAGCATATTACATATCTGGTGAAAATTTTCCACAAATGCTTCTTTACAAAGGATTATCATGCTTACCTGAAACTTCAAGTTTATTTCCGTTGTCTTGTGTAAAGTGACTTCCCTCTGCTCTCAGTATAGGACATGATTTTTCTATAAAAAAGTAAAAGTTATTTGTATTATAATTTCCATTTTGCTTTTGTTTTCATTATTGGGGGTTGAACCAATGGCACTTACATTGAGCCACAGCACCAGTTCTTTTTAATTTTTATTTCGAGACAAGGTCTCACTAAATTGCCTAGATTGGGCTTGAACTTGTGATCCTCCTCCCTCTGCCTTCCAGAATATTAAGATTTTGGGCCTGCACCATCATGCCAAGATTCCATCAAATTTTAAAAATCGATTTGAATGCTGTAATGCATTCAGAGACAAGATAAAAATATAAATAAACTGAACCATTTTATTGAATTTCTGTAAAATGAAGATTAGGATATTGCTGTCTTTTAAGTGTGTTTGTAAGGATTTATTATTATAGCTATTATTATTAGCATTATTCTAGCACTCTGATTGTTCCTACATATTTAACACTAAGCAATAAGTTGGCTTTAACCACACCATTAAATTTTCCTATTCAAAATTTACTTTATAAGTTCAGCTACCAAAGTATTATTTTTTTATCATCATTTTGACTCAGGTTTTGGTATTAGGTAATATTAACCTTTTAGTACATGAAGGGGACCTGAATGGAAGTAACTAAAATAAAATTTGAAGCCAAGAAACAAAGATCTGCATCATACAGAAGCATCCTAAAATAAAAAAGAGGAAAACTTTGATGAAGCATTAATTATATGCCAATATCTCAGTGATATCCAAAGAAATAAAAATAAATTTCCACCCACAGTGAATTTACACGTCCAATACTACCACACCACAGTAACACAGTGGTCTACATGCAAACTGTATTTTTTAAACAACTAAGGATATGTTTAAAATTCCTTCTGGGCTAGTTGCTGTAAATGTGAAACTTCATACAAAATCGCCATCAATTTTCTGATTATGCCACGATAACTAAACTAGACAACTAAGACTTTAAACTAAGTTGATTAAATGTTTTGGCATCATGCAATCATAAATTTAATTCTCCGTGTCTAAGATTTGTGTTTGGGTTTTATGACCTAGAAGTTTTAAATACGGACAGGAGATGACGGCTTCAAACAGTCTAGCTGCTCTGTGAGAAGTAGAAGTTGCTGATTCACCAGTTCAAGTTCTCAGCTCCTCAGGCCTTCCCTGGACCAATACATCACAGACCCCAGGGTACAACAAGGTTTCAGCTTAAAGTATTTAACCAGAAGACCAACTTTTTATCTGCTTTCATAGCTTTTTTGGCAGTGGGGGGGCAGGGGGGACCAAGTATCTTAGCTAAGATGTCCATACTAAAAACTAGAGGCTATTGCTGGAGAAAATAAAGACCTAAATATTGATGGAATAAACCAAATATTCAATATTCTTACGATGCCAATTTTTAGTTTTATCCCTAAATTTTGTTCAGTGATAATTAAACTTCAATAGATTGATGTGTGTGTGTGAAAATCTAATAAGCTGGTTCTCAAATATAGATGGAACTATACAATACTCAGATATCTAAAGAAAAACACTGAAGAACAACTTGGAGACAGTAAGCTATTGTATATCAAGAAAGTTTATAATGAGGGTTGTGCTACATAAAGAGCAACAGATCAGTGCAACAGACTGAACGCTATACTTTCAGGGATCACTTCTATAGTATGAAGGGCCCCCAGAATAGGTTGCCAAAACAGGTGTACATATATAGTCTCCACATTTACTACAAAGGACCGCTTCAATTCGATGGGGAAAGGACAGTGATCTGCTCAATAAATGGTGCTGGGTCAACTGGATCCTCAGACAGAAATCACTGGACCTTGTACCTTAACTTCACACCCTGCACAGAATTTAACTAGAGGTAATCGTAAATGTGAAAAGTAAAACAATAAAACAGGTGCAGATAACACATTAAATTAAATTCATGGAATTTATGTACATGTGCTGGTGCTGCAAAGATTTTTTGAAAGTGACACAGAAAGCATCCCTTACAAAGGAAAAGGTTAATACATTAAACTTTGTCAAGGTCTTTTTTAATCAAAAGACAATCTTAGAAGAGTGAAAAAGGCAATCAACAAACCAGAAGGTATTTGCAAAACACATATCTAATAAATGTTATATTCAGAATAGACAGTGAACTCCTACAAATCAATACCAAAAACATGCAAAAACTCATTTTTAAATATGTACCAAAAATCCCAAACACTTCCCAAAAGAAAATACACAAATTGACAACCAATATATTAAAAAGTATTCAAAATCATTAGTAATGGAGAAAGTGTGAATAAAGTCACAAATAGCTACCATTAAATGGCTAAAATTAAAGAAATGATGTCACCAAGTGTCCATGAAGATGTGATGCAGCATAAACAGAATTCGGTATTTCCAACAGTATCTCTATAAGTATTTCTCTACCAAAACAACAACCCACCTACACTCCTTGTGCTATAAAAAATTAGTACAATCATTTTAGAAAACTCCTTAACAGTGTTCATTAAAGCTAAATATACATGAACCTCATGACTTGAAAATTTAATGACGAGAGAAATAGTAACAAAAACATGAGTGTAAATGATCTCTTGAGGTGAAACTATGCATGACTGCATTACTTATAATAGTTTAAATCCAGAAACAACACAAAAACTAGCTCAACAGGAGAATAAATTGTGGTGTATACAATGAAACACGTACAGCCATAAAAGAGAATGAACTAATCGTACATGTAACAACTGGAAGAACCTCACATACATAACACTGAGTGGGAAAATATCATCCCTCCCAAAATACATTCTCCCTAGTATCATTTAAATGAAGGTTCAGAGAGTTCACAGCTAAACTGTGTCAGATTAGCGGCTGCACTGACTGGTGGAATGTCACCTGCAGCAGGTGCAGAGAAATCATCTAAGGTTCTGGAAATGATATATGCTTTCATCAGAGTGATTGTTACATGGGTGTATAAATACATATGCAAAACTTCATCAAACTGACTCATTCACTGACTTTGGTGTGTGTAATACCTGAATAAGAAGAATAATGACAGCATTTCTGGGAGAAAATATTTTATGCCAAAAATGATTCTTATAAAAATTTTAAAAATTAATTTCTGATCAAATTTTTATGATAACTATGAATGACTATATGGTCATAATTAATAAGATAACCTTAAATTTATATATATATATATAAGTGGGTGACTTGCAAAACAAATCTCAAGTCAGTGAAAAGATCCTTTCCATTATGACACGTTGGTAATGAGGAGAAGGTATGTTGGCTTATTTCCAAGTTGGAAACTGTATATACCTTATTTAAATTCTTCAAAGGACTTCGTGAATGTTTGATGATTTCAAAGTAATAAACCTGTCACTTTGAAATGAGTAGAATTCAACCTTTCCAGCAATATTTATGTATTTTTCCATTAAAAGTCTCTAGTTTATGAAATGCCATTTCATATCTGTAGGACCCCTGGTTTGTTGTAAAAAGCCGAACAAAGCAAATTAAAACTAAATGTTAATTATTTGGGGGTCAGATTTAAGGTACAATAATAATGAAGTCTAATGAATCCATTGCATAAAACACGACGAGGCAGTGAAGTGGATGCAAGAAGCTGGATATACTAATTTATTTAAATATTGGCGAGGTGTCTGTGCCTTTGAGATTAACAGATATGACTCAACTATATAAATACGGCATCAAACAGACAGAGACCATGCACTACACCCTCTCACCTCAAAAGCTCTGGCATACTTCAAAAGCAATGACTTAAATTTATCACAAAAGATACATTGCTTACAGAAGCAAATGTTCTAAGCATTTGTATTTTCAAAAGCAAATACAAATGTCTTTAACAAAATGATGCTAAGATGTTAATGACTCTCAGATCCACTTCCGGTCTTACTTGGCTTGAAGAACCTGGGCAATTTTGGGAACTGGAGGGGTATGTGAAAAGGCCAGAGGCAACGGAAAGGCAGGCAGCTTGGTCAGATTGGAATACATCATTATTTGATCTGGGCTACCTACAAATAAAATACATAGTTCTTAATTTTAAGGCTTCTACCCTTTCAAATCATGGGCACAAGTCATCTAGGAGACATAGATGGCAGAGCCACTCAGTGGCAGAGTTGAAATAAAACACGTTTCCTACAGACCAACTTTTCTCCTCTGGATTGAATGGTTCAATCACCAGTACCTCACCAAACATACATAAATAAATTTTAAAGTCAGGGTTTTGATAACACACAAAGCACAGATCTATTTCCCTCTGTCATGTGCCCCTCCTTACATCCCTCATCCTTTGACTCCAGTCACGGGGCCTTTTTTGCTATTTCTCCCATCTACTGAGCAGGGCTCTGCCCCAGGGCCATTGTGCTGACTGCTTTCTGGGCTTGCTACGCCTCCCTCTCTCCCTGTCCTCAGTCTCTACATCCACACATGAGGCAGCCTCCCTGACCCTTACCTCCTGTTGGATTGCCAAATACAGCAAACAAAATAGAGGGCTCATCAAATTTGAATGTCAGATATACAACCAAAGTCTTTTTAATGCAAGTTTGCCTCAGGCAATATTTGGAATAGACTCACCCTAAGAAAAAGTATCCACTGCTTACCTAAATTCAGATTTAGCGTGGTAACCAGTGTTTATCTAGCCACCCCACCTTGTTGCCCATACTTGGTGAGGACGGATATGATGTCAGCTTGGAATAAAAAGATGACAGTGAAAATGGAAGGAGGGAAGGGATTGAGAGATAAGAACAAACAAGACATGAGAATAGGTTGGATGTAGGAAGGAATGTTGACTTGCTTTGGATGGATAATGGTTAATTTACTAAAGTGAATCCTACCAGAGAAATAAGAGCAGATAAGACAAAGAAAATTAATCAGTGGTGAAAGACAGAAGGAGTTAGAAATGTTGTTCGAGGTGCCACTAGAAATTCACATGGCAAAGTTATTGAATGTACATTTAGAAGTAAGGCTACAGCAAAGAAAATAACAGAGTAACAAGATGACTACAGAACAGAAAAAGACATTTGCAAACAAGT